TTAAAAGATAATAATTGTAAATTAGCACTTGACTTAAATGTTTGAACAGAATACATACAACAACATTTTCTTGTACTACTGTAAATTAGTTAATATTAAGTAAACAAAGAGAATGCTTCTTCTTGACTTTATTCTTTTGCCCAAAACTTATACAAAAAAATCTATTGGCAAAAAAATTCTTGAACTTATTAAAAATATAGAAATAAAAAAACAAATTATCAGTTTAATAAGTAACAATATAGTAAATAATTTGAATAATGATATGTCTAAATTTTCTTCCAAAAACTATTAATTCTGATCTTAAGTATATGCACTGCATTACATATAATATTAATATTATTGCTGAAGCTGGTCAAAAAATATTTTAATTAAACTCAAAAGCCTTAAAATTTCTGTAATAAATAAACTCATCTTTAGTTTTGAAGAAAATGAAAAGAATTTCTATCATTTTAGATTGTTTGTTTTATTATTTCATAATTGATATTGAGACTAAATGAACTTTTACTTATTTAATGATAAAGAGACTCTGTCAAATCTAATTCATTATTGATAGTCTTATAATATCTTACCTGAATTTAAAAAATAATTACTTAGAAGTTGATGATTAGGTAATTATAGAAGAAATAATACAGCTTCTTAAACCATTTTACATGGCAGCTACAGCCTTTTCAAATACTCTACAACCTTCCTACAGGTCTTCATGATTAATTTTTTTAGGTCTTTCAATGCATCTTAATTAATATATTTTGATTAGTATACATGGTGATGCAACAAAAAAAATGAACAATAAATTAAAGAACTACTGAACTTATATTTTAAAGTCTTTACTTATTTCTATTCATTTTGATCTGTCCACTATATCAGAAGCACTTTATGAGACTAATTGTAAAATCACTATTAATTAGTTAAAAGTTCTTTATTTATCATATAAAACAAATAACTCAAAAATGATTACTAGACTTAAAGCTCCATTAGAAACTTTTGAAAGCTTATAAAATAAGTAAAAACAGAAAAGAAAATAAAATAGAAATAGATGAATTAGAAGCTTACCTTTTTCTTTCACAGGAATCAGGAACTGATTCATTATCATGATGGAAAGTAAAAATACAATGTTTTTCAATAGTATCTTCTATTGTAGCAGACCATTTTTCTCTGGAGGCTATGAATATTCCTTATGAACATGCTTTTTCTGATATAAAAGATACCATTAATCTTAATCTTGCAAGTGGTAATCTTGAGAAAATGGTTAAAACTTTATTGCTTCTAAAAAATTGGTTTGAAGAAGAAATTATTGTATAGAAATATATATTGATATATCTATATATCTAAATATTTTTTATCTTTTTGTATAACATAAATAAAAATCTATCATGACTAAATTTTATAAGTAGCTATTAATATGTTTAACATGACCCTGAGAAAAAGATCATTTAATTAGCAAACAAATTTCTAACATTGTTACTATGTGAAGATACTTTTAAGTAAATATTCTGTGTTTACAGAATTAAAAATGTTAGATATTATGAGAGGAATGAAAGATGAAAGAAGACGATTTCTCTATAGTCCTTAATATTGCGTGCTGATCTTAAAAATTTTTACTATAAAAAAATTTAATTAATGATTTTTACTATACACCTGCACTATGTTTGTAAATTGGCTTGCATGATACACCCCAGTGCCCTACGTACGTTATTGCCGCAAATCGTAACTAAAATAGTGACTAAGGCTGTTCAAAGTTGAATAATTGTTTATCCCCCCTCTCGGTTAGCTGTCTTCCCGGAAATTAAACAAGCCAATCACAATGCAAGATAATTTTCAACAATTATGTGAGTAAGGTTGACCAATAAGAATTGATCAAATATTCTTTGTGCATGGTTTTTTTTTAAATCCCACTAAGCTCAAAATGTTGACGTTAAACAATCAACTTTGAACAGCCTAACTCTAATTAAGTATAGATCTGCATCAAGAAAGTTATCACACTTTCATATTATTTTTTATTTGTACGTACAGTATTGTATTATGTGTCCTGAGCACATGACGATCGCTATAATATACAAACACGTAGGCATTCATGTTCTTGTTACCGTTACACTTAGTACAAATATAAACACGCGGCGGGACCGACTAAAATTTCTAATTTATATTTTTGATTTGATTTTTCCATGATGTTTATGATGATGCATCAAAAACATTAATTTATGTATCACTTAATGTAAAAATTAAGGACCTCTACTACTCTCCAGACAATTAATAATTAAAGGTATTAATCTTTTTGATAACCAGTCGGAAAATTCTCAAGTTTACAAACTGTAAACTGACATTTTCGTAGACCAGTACTCTTTTCTGAGTTAGTGAGAAGCGATTAATTGATTACTTTCGCATGATTATCTAGTAATTATACCGGTATAATTAAGGTAAGAATTACAAAATTTCCTATTAGTATATTGGTTCCTAAATTTTTAAGCTATTATTTGCTTACAAATAAGCTAAAATTTGCATTTATAGAGGCCAAACATGTATTTCGGCCAGAATTTAAATTTTTATTTAGAGAAATTTCTACTTAAAGAGGTTGTACTTAGCAATAATAATGGTGAGAATCAAAATATTGTTACAGAGGGTTGATTTTACTAAATATAACTGTATGCTTGATATATATAATATAAATGAATGTCATTTTATAAATAAATCTTAAATTTCAATAAGTATACATGTAAATATTTTAATAAACATGAACTCATTTTATAAAATAAATATATTATCAAAATTATTTGCAAAAAAAATTAATTAATATATAAAATATTATTAATTAAATTGATGAAAAAAGATGTGACACTGGTAGAAATAAAGTATGTCGTACAAATCTTATAAAAATAGGGAACAAGTATTTCCACACACAATTTTGGTATTTCCACATCGGGTGTAGAAATACCTGTTTCTTAAAAATATCATCTAATTTTTTCTCATCGTGACAATAACAGATACGTATATATATATCAAGAGCTAATTTAGCTATCGTTCCATCATCTCCTAATAAGTATCTATCATTGTCACGATCAGCAAAAAATTGGATAGTATTTGTCCGATATAATTTATTTTAACTTTTGAGAGTTAATTTTTAGGGAAAACTCGAATATAGAATTTCATATTGAATATAAATAATTATCCGCCTTGTTATCTTCCTGTTTTACGGATGTCTCACAATCTCCCAAAGGTCCCCATTTCGCGATAATATGCTATTTTGAGGATATGAATGTAGAAAGCCATAAATTATCAAAACATTTTATTTGCATTGATTTTTCATAAAGAAAAACTTTAAAATTGTACAACCAAACGACAGTCAAGTGATTGTCCATTTGACAATTTGATCTATATCATTTGAAAACGGCGATAAATTATAATTATTGTTGTTTTTTTTCGTAACACATGGTATAAACAATTATACTAATTTGTCATCTTCTATAACATTCTAAAAGATGTAAAAATCTTATTCTCTCTTTATAGATACTATAACAAGTTTAGAATCCTCGATCTCTTTGCGTATGTTGCTCATAGAATTATAGTATTTATGCTTTTTAAGCGTACAGTAATATTTTATCATTTCACTATATCATAATCTTTCTCATTATACCATTAATCTAATTCCTAAATAAGAAAATCATTTGCTACTTAGATAATGGCTCTGTAAAAAACTGTATCCGAATATTTCCATATTTTTTGTGAAAATTCCTCAAATCTGCAACAAAATTTAGACTAGCTGGATAAAGTAATATATTGTTATTTGGTGCGAAGCAGCCAATAGTATACATTATCGGCATGATAAAATACTTAACCATTAGTAGTTTATTACATTGCTGTAGGTCTTTTGATCGATCTGGATCATTTAACAATCGGTGAAAATCGAGAAATGACACATGTCAATTATTAATCGATATAAATTGAAAAATGACGCGGAACATAGATAAGTTTTTTGGGTTTGGAACTTTAATTTTCCTAGCAGATGACCTATTTTCTAAAAATAATTCGTGTAACTGTTGTGTACATGTAGATTACTTAAGCCATACAAAATTACTTTTTTAGACTTGTATTATTGAATTGACGAGAATAAGTAACTCTAGATTTCAGTGTTCTTCGATGTGTTCAATGTTACCAGTATTATGTCTATGTATACGTATATAAGAAATTTAACTTCTAGATTTTGTGTCAAATATGTTGCGGAGAATGATAAATTAGTAAAATCATTTCATTGCGTTACGAGAAAAAAGGAATGAAAAAATATCACACCTTGGTATTGTAATCAATTTAACTATAAGTATGAAGTTAACAGGGAAGATTATTAAAAATAAGCTCACGTCTTTTTTACATCATTTAATTTTATTATTCAATATTGTGGCATTTGCTTATTCAACATTAGATATTTCATATATTTTTATAGGATTTAAGTCTGGACTATTTAATGAGCAGTCAACCTTATAAACCCTATTTGGATTTGTATGCTTTGGAACATCGTTTAGTTGCAAATATCAGCTTTTGCAAAACATGCGTTGTATAGCAAACAAAGGTATTGTTATGGTGTACATGTTGTTTGATAGAGTTTGTATAATCCTAGAATGATATTTACTTGTTTTTTTTTTGCTGATTTATAATTATTTTTCTTTGGATATTAAGCTTTGTACCGATAACTTTGATAAATATGTATTTATTTTCAAAGTGTACTGTATTTGTTTTGAAATAACGCCAATGAACGTTCTTTGAGGTATGCAATTTAACCTTAAAAATCTTTAAAGATGCATTAATCAAATCTCAGAATGTAAAAGTGTATAATGATGCCAAAGAAAAGCAATTTTCTGTTTTGCCGTAAACAAGTTCTGAAAATTGTAATTCAATCGGTGTCCTACTTTAGGTTTTTCCCGTGTTGATTCATATATATCAATATATTTTCTATATAAACACAATAAATACTCTATAAAAGACACTAGTAAATTCATTTTACTTTAAAAAAAATGTCTAAGTCACAACAAATATCTGTTACCACCCAGAAAGATGGGAACATCCAGCAAGATAACCCCGAAAAAATCCTGGCCGATATTGAAAGTGAATCACCAAAAGTAAAAATATGTATTACCGCTCAGCAAGATAAAACCGAAAAAATCTTTTTTACTAAAGTTTTAGATCAATATCATGAATTTAGGAAAATTGTATTTGTATTATTGATTATCAGTTTTTTAATTTCATTCCTCGCCCTTTTTATTGCGGTATATCTCATAAGACATGAAAGCCCAGACAACATTATATCTTTAGCTTTTCTCAACTCTTATCGAGAAACTCCTAATTCTATTCAAAATGCTGTCAAATCTGACACGGATAAATTATCAAATATTTTACCCTTTATAGTTGATTCCTTAACAGCATTATTAAGTGGTGGAGGAATTATTATAGGACTTAAAAATTTCTTTTTCTCAAGTAAAGAATATATAAATCTGATGCATAAACCCATAGAAAATGAATCAGAGGAAGTAGATGGTACCAGACGAGTGATCAAAAGACTGAAATGGACAAAAAATATATATGCTCTCATTACTACAATCATCTCTATCATTATATTGATTCTTGTTATTTTAAATTTTATACGCTTAACCACTATTTATAACGATACATCAGATGTTGATGATTGTAAACTTTTTAATGATTGCTTTAGTTATGTTAAAAGCGTCAATTTAACAGTTGGTGAAAATTTTTTAATATGCCCTATCAACAATAACTCTACAAGTATCTTTAACAATAAATTAGATGTTTGTAGATTCGTTCTAGGATGTAGCACTCGTTGTCCTAAATTTGATCCAAATAACCCTGAAAATCTTTATTTATGCCTATTTACTAACGGTTCTGCTTATATTAATACCACTTACATTAACGATTATGTATGTATACCTCCGGCGTTTAATTCTCAGAAAACGTTCAATCATTACGTGACAAATAATATCGTCGTGTTAGCATTAGGAGTTATTGCAATGATTCTAAATGTATGTTTGTTGATTTTTTATTTTGGATGTTTTGGTACGGCTAAAATTCGAATGGAAAAGGATACAAAGAAAAATCTTTATAAATTAGCTTGTTAATATTTTTACCATTATTATTTTTAGTCCATTTTTGTAAAATGCATTTATAGTGTTTTGATACATAATATTTTTTATAATTATAAATATTCTAAATTTTTATAAGTTACTATTTATCTTTTTAATTCTAATTTTGTTGTTATTATTGATATTTTGAGATTTACTATTTATCAACACTTGTGATCATCACCAGCATAAAATAAAATTTTATTAACAAAACTACTTTGAGGTTCTAATAAAAAAAAAATTCTCCGTGAAATTCTGAGTATTACCCTTCCTTTATTCTAATTCAAGCTTTTAAATCTTACCCCCTAAATATCAAAAAAATTTTGATTTTTGCTTTGATAAAAATTTAAATCTAAGTATTGTATAAATCACTGGTGATGATCACCAATGGAACGAATTTTCTAACATTTTATAGCTTATATTTTAAAGTTTGAAAGTGATTTCAGAGGTGTAGAGCATTTTTATTTAAAGCATGACACCCAAGTATTTGAAATAATGTATATATAAATGTAAAACATTATAAATGCGTTTTAGTAAAAATGATTATTCATTAAATAATATTTATTATTATTATTTTTTTTTTTGAAACAAATCAATTAAAATTTGGTTGATTCTTTTAATTAAAATATCTAACCATACCTGATATCTATTCACTTTTTTTTTGAAACAAAATATTTTGACTAAGAAAAAATCATCACAAAAGCAATTCATAGCTTTAAAGCAATGTCAATATTAATTGTATAAAAAAACCTTAAAAAGATTTCACTTCTTGATAGACTTTGCTTAGAATATAAAAAATATACCACTGCATATTAAATATCACAAATTTATACTATAAGGTGGATAAAAATGTTTTTGTTTAAGATGGGTTTTTATCATTTCTCTGACAATCATTTTTCTGGTAACCATTATCCAATAATCATTTTCTTGACATGTTAATTTCTTTAACAATCATTTTCTCAACATATTAATTTTTTCAACAATTATTTTTTCTGACAAGATCATTTTTTCTAACAAGATTTTTTCTTTGACATAATCATTTCTCTGACATAATCATTTCTCTGACAATCATTTTTTTGGCAACTATTACCCAACAATTATTTTCTTGACATGTTAATTTCTTTAACAATCATTTTCTCAACATATTAATTTTTTCAACAATTATTTTTTCTGACA